AAGGCCAGCAAAGGTTGGTTTGAGAGATTTAAGAATCATAGTGGCATGCACAGTGTGATAAGGCCTGTTCTGAAAGAAAATGCCAAACAGGACCTACATTACTCAGGAGGGAAAGGCACTCCCAGGACACAGTGTCTCATCAATAACTGCTGCATCTTCAATAAAGTTAAGTGTCATTTATTCTTCATTTAGTATAGTAGTACATGCACAATATATATTGTGCATGTACTACTCTACAACTGTGCATGTATCCTTCTTTTTGTGTGTAGGAAAATGTATATTTCATGTGATAAAATTTTTTTTTTTTCATACTTTTGGGTGTCTTGCATGGATTAATTTCATTTCCACTATTTCTCATGGGGAAAATTAATTCAACTTGCGATAATTTCGTCTTACGATGAGCTCTCAGGAACGGATTAATATTGTAAGTCGGGGTCCACTGTATTTATGTGTACCTGTGAGAGACAGAGACAGACAGAGATATAGACAGACAGATATAGACAGACAGATACAGACAGAGACACAGCCAAAGCCAGTCAGCCAGCTAGCCAGCCAGCCAGCCAGCCAGCCAGCCAGCCAGTTGTCCACCCAGCCAGCCAGCCGCCCACCCAGCCGACCGGCCAGCTAGCCAGCCAGCCTGCTGAATACGTATTACACATGTTCTAGAATCGTTTCTCTCTACTTAGGGCATAGGTTACAGGACATTCTGGCAGGATGACACTACTAGTGGTATCAGAAATGAAAGGATGTTGCACAAATGTTGCACATGGGTTATTATCGAGGTTTCTGATATTTTCTTGACCACTTGTGGCCACATTCATCTCAAAGCCACTAAACTCTGGGTCATCAACAACACCATCTAGCCCAAGAGTGCAACTAAATTTAAACAATCCTTGGAAGCAGAGTGGAAGAGAAGCTCTGTGAGGTAACAGGAAGTCTCATCCTCTAGCAAAATCTGAGTCAACCACTGAACAACTGACACAAGTCTCATTAATCCGACAGGTTCAACGAGTGGGGTAAGAATAAGTGTCATCCTCAGGAAGACGCAAAAAACATGAAGGATAAATGAATCACAAACGATATCCCCAAAGTTGTCCAGGTATGAGACAGAAGGGAAGCTGGTTGAAAAATAATAATCCCATACATCTTAACCCTTTTAGAGTTGGTCCCATGGTACTTCAGTTTTGAAGCCAGGATTGGTCCCATAGTTCTACGCCACGAGCTTAGCTCACTCAAATAAGCTGTGAGCGGTAAATTTAGGCCTAGATATGAGACACTGGGTTTATGCAGTAAGTGTGCATCATATAAAAAAATCCTGCAGCACGCAGTTCATAATGGAGAAAAAACTGGGACTGTGCTTTTGGTTTAACACAGTGAAATTTCATATGCTTTCATGGTAGTATTAGTGGTTTCTTGGTCTCATTTGATAGAACGGAAGATATACTACAGAGATAGAGGTGATTTTGATAGGTTTCAGAATTGAAAGTAGCTTGAAATTGTGCTCATATTAGCAAAAATGTTCAATTTTTGCTGATATTCCTGAGTACATGATGTCACTTGCCCAATACACGTCCAAATGGCAGTCTAATATGCATTTAGGAATGCACTGACGTTTTTTATACAATTATTACAACAATGCAGTAGTCTGCATAATGGTATATCTTCTATTTTTTGTGTTAATAAAAATTCAAAATGGAAAGCAAGCATAATATAGGAGAAGCCTGGGGACATACCTGACAAACAGAGGAAATGTTTTTTTAGTGTCAGGAGTGTCGACATTGCTTAATCTGGACCCTATTTTTAAACTCAGTTTTTTAAATTTATTTGAAATTGACCAAATTACCAAATTCTAATCACTTTATTGGATAGTTGAAATTGGTAAATAGGCAGTTTCTTGTACTCAGTCAACAGAATAGAAGGAATACTAGTGAAACAGCTATGAGTTTGGTCAAGTGGAAAAATGGAATTAGCCAAAAATAGGGCTTAAAGTGGGTGAAACTGCTGATGTATAAATATTGCTGAGATTGCTAACTTTGCAAGAGCGTAATTCCATAAGTTTTCCATCATTACCTTCAGAAGAAAGATGCTCTATCATTTCATTTTTTTTTTTTAAATTCTTCGACCCTGAGAGCAAGTTTGAGATCAGGGGTCTCGACCCTGAAAGGGTTAATGATGTAGCTTTGCCCATTAAGATTTGACACAGACCCAGTATGACTCCTTAAACTAGTAGAATGCTTTAGTCATGAAGCTGGATGGAACCAACTCTAAAGTCTTAACCCTTTGACTGTCACAGGCCCCTTTCTAAAACTGTCATTCTATGTCGCAAAATTTTTGGAAAAATAAAAAATTTATTTTTCTTTTGAAATGATAATCTTTTCCCGATGGTAATGACACCAAAAGTACGAAATTTGGTCGAAAACTCACAGAATTATGCTCCCGCGAAGTTAGTGGTCTCGGCGACATACATGCATCAGTGATTTCGCCGACTTTGAGCCTCATTTTTGGCCAATTCCATTGCTCCGGTTGACCAAACTCATAGCTATTTCTTTAGAACTCCATTTTTTCTATCAACTGAGTACAAGAAACCGCCCATTTACCAATTTTTTACAATTGTTTACAAGCCAGCCACCGCGGTCGCATCCAAACATACAATCGGAACATTTCATATTATCACAGCGTTTTAAGTGATTGCACCTGCAAAATAAAGTCACCATGGGTCCCAAGAAAACTTCTAGTGCCAACCCTACAGCAAAAAGGGTGAGAATCACTATGGATATGAAGAAAGAGATCATTGCTAAGTATGAAAGCGGAGTGCGTGTCTCCGAGCTGGCCAGGTTGTGCACAAAACCCCAATCAACCATCGCTACTATTGTGGCCAAGAAAACGGCAATCAAGGAAGCTGTTCTTGCCAAAGGTGCAACTATGTTTTTGAAACTGAGATCGCAAGTGATAGAAGATGTTGAGAGACTGTTATTAGTGTCAATAAACGAAAAATAGATAGCAGGAGATAGCATCTCTCAAGCGATCATATGTGAAAAGGCTAGGAAGTTGCATGACGATTTAATTAAAAAAATGCTTGCAACTAGTGGTGACTAGTGGTGAATTTAAGGCCAGTAAAGGTTGGTTTGAGAGATTTAAGAATCGTAGTGGCATACATAGTGTGATAAGGCATGGTGAGGCTGAAAAATATGTGCAGGAATTCAAGGAGTACATAGACAGTGAAGGATTGAAACCTGAACAAGTGTTTAATTGTGATGAAACAGGCCTGTTTTGGAAGAAAATGCCAAGCAGGACCTACATTACTCAGGAGGAAAAGGCACTCCCAGTACATAAGCCTATGAAAGACAGGCTTACTCTGTTGATGTGTGCTAATGCTAGTGGTGATTGCAAAGTGAAGCCTTTATTGGTGTATCACTCTGAAACTCCCAGAGTGTTCAGGAAAAACAATGTCCTCAAGGCTAATTTGTGTGTGCTGTGGAGGGCAAACAGTAAGGCATGGGTCACTAGGGACTTTTTCTATGACTGGTTACACCATGCATTTGCCCCCACTGTCAAAAATTACCTCCTGGAAAATAAATTGGACCTTAAGTGCCTCCTGGTATTAGACAATGCTCCTGATCATCCTTCAGACTTGGCAGAGTGACTTTCTGGGGACATGAGCTTCATCAAGGTCAAGTTTTTGCCTCCTAATACCACTCCTCTCCTGCAGCCCATGGACCACCAGGTCATTGCAAACTTCAAAAAACTCTACACAAAAGCTATGTTTGAAAGGTGCTTTGTAGTGACCTCAGAAACTCAATTGACTCTAAGAGAGTTTTGGAGAGATTACTTTAGCATCCTCAATTGTGTAAACATTATAGGTAAGGCTTGGGAGGAAGTGACTAAGAGGACCTTGAACTCTGCTTGGAAGAAACTGTGGCCAGAATGTGTAGACAACAGGGATTTTGAAGGATTTGAGACTAACCCTGAGAAGCCTATGCCAGTTGTGGAATCAATTGTGGCATTGGGGAAGTCCTTGGGGTTGGAGGTTAGTGGGGAGGATGTGGAAGAGTTGGTGGAGGAGGACAATGAAGAACTAACCACTGATGAGCTACAAGATCATCTTCAACAGCAAGAGGCCAGACGTGAGGAAACTGCTCCGGAGGAGGGGATAGAGAAATTGAAGAAGTTGTCTACTTCAAAGATTAAAGAAATGTGTGCAATGTGGCTTAAAGTGCAAACCTTTTTTGATGAAAATCACCCTCACACAGCTATTGTAAGCCGTGCTGGTGACTATTACACTGACAATGTTGTGAAACACTTTAGAAATGTCATAAAGGAACGGGAGGTACAGGCCTCTATGGACAGATATGTTGTGCGGCAGAAGTCCAGTGACTCTCAAGCTGGTCCTAGTGGCATTAAAAGAAGAAGGGAAGTAACCCTGGAAAAGGACTTGCCACCTCATGTCCTAATGGAAGGGGATTCCCCTTCTAAACACTAACACCATCCACACTCTTCCCTCCTCCCATCCCATGAATCATCACCAGATCTTCAATAAAGGTAAGTGTCATGTAATTGTGTATGTCTTCTTCAGTTTGTGTATATTAAAATTAATATTTCATGTGGTAAAGAATTTTTTTTTCAATACTTTGGGGTGTCAGAAACGGATTAATTTGATTTCCATTATTTCTTATGGGGAAAATTAACTCGACTAATGATTATTTCGACTAACGATGAGCTCTCAGGAACGAATTAATATCGTTGGTTGAGGGTCCACTGTACAGTGGATCCCCTGTTTACGATATTATTTCATTCCAGACGTATGTTCAGGTGCCAGTACTGATCGAATTTGTTCCCATAAGGAATACTGTGAATCAGATTAGTCCATTTCAGACCCCCAAACATACACATACAAATGCACTTACATAAATACACTTACATAACTGGTCGCATTGAGAGCTGATCATAAACCGGGGGTCCACTGTATTTCCATTTTTACACATACTAGCAAAAGCACTTACCCTGTACAGATGCACTTATATTTTTATCTGCAGAAGCAACATCACAAGTAACAGGCCGAAGGGACCTAAATAGTTGTTGTGTTGCAGTCAGCTGTGCTTGTAGTCGTGCTTCTATAGCTTTTTGCTGCTGACTTCCAAGTAGTCTGTCACAGAACAAAGAAACAAGACTAAAAAACTGTTTAACCAACATGTCTCTCTACCAATATAATTTTGAAACTTTACAGAATAGTCATTAAAGAGAGTGTTATGGGGCTATAGGACCCAACATGTATTTATAAGTAACAGTTACTCTGGAATACCTAATTATATTGAATTGATGGGGACTCAGTTCTAAATGTCATAAGGGCTGATCACCCTTAGGACTGAGAGGCAGCTGGGTCAAGCCTTTTTCTCAATATAATAGGTTATACTATAGACACACAAACACACAATTTAAATAAGAAGTCTGTAAAGTTGTATTTGTTTTTGTAAAAGTAAAATTAAGGTGTGGTAGAATTGTGGTAACTGGAGAATTGTGCTTGGCAACAGTCTTTTGTTTTTGGTGGGTGTGGGAGGAGCTTAGCTAGGCTCCTCCCCCTCCCTCCCTCTCTCTCTCTCTCTCTCTCTGTTTTTGGTTGACATGAAGGTGGAAGGACCTCTGGGTCCTTCTTTCTATCTTTTTGGGGCATGTGTGCTCCAGGGGTGAGTTTTTATAACTTAAGTTGTGGTCACCATACCCAGGGTGACTAAAGTGTGTCAAAACACTGGGTAGCCCAGAGTTAGTCAAGAAGAGAGAAGGACAAAGTTGCTGAGATGCACCATGTGGGAGAACAGCTATGGAGTGTGTAGATTTTTGTTTTGAAAATGTGAGGCTGTAAATGCATCTTCTGTACATATCTATTTAGAATACAGTTATATTTTTATAGTAGTAGTTTAAATAACCTGTGAAGAGGGCTGGTGAAAGGATATCAGAGACACTCAAGATGATCAGCCATGATGTAAGTATTACCCCTAGACAGATAAGGCCATTAAGTAAAAAGCTACCCCACACTAGAACATGTAGTGAGAACCTTACTATCAAAGTAATAAGGGACAAACCAACGTAACATGGGAGCTTGACCGGGAGAGTTATTTGACTGCTAAAATAACTCAAAACATTCTTTGAACTATATGTACTGGTATGGGGTAACAACAGTTGCATGTTTCTGGTAGGAGAAGATTTACCAAGGTGGTGTCAGTGGAAGTGTTGTTTTCATATATTAGTTTACAGGTTGTTTTTCTCCTAAGGTGGGAGAAAGGTTGAGTAACACATTTTTGTTGTGGTTATGGTAAGTGCTATGTGCATAGTTTACATTCAATTTGTGTTATTTTATGTGCCTGTGGGAAAACTTTGTCCACTGATACTGTAAGAGGGAAGCAAGTGTTTAAAGATAAAGCTATGTCAGAAGTTGAGTCTTTCAACTTTTCAGGCTTCAGGGAGGAAGGTAATAATTCATCAGTAAACATGCCTGTTAACAGTGAACATGAGGGATCACCTACTCCAGGTGATATAGAAATGGAGAGAATGAGACTTAAATTAGTTGTGCTAGAGGCTCAAATGAACTTAATGAAAGCTAAGGAGGAAGAACGTCAAAGGTTAAGAGGTTCAGAACAAGAGCCTGAGCAGTACTTTAACATAACTAAAGCTGCAAATTTTGTCCCTAAGTTTACAGAGAGTGACCCAGATAGATATTTTTCTTTTTTTGAGAAGACTGCTTTGGAGCAAGGATGGCCCAAACAGAAGTGGGCTACCCTAGTTCGCACACAACTTGTGGGTAAAGGATTCCAGAGAGTAGAGACTCTGGAGGGGAAAAAATTTTCTGATTATGATAAGATTAAAGAGGAAGTATTGCTTGCATACCAAATGATACCTGAGAAATATAGACAAAAGTTCAGGAATCAAAAATTTTGGGATGGGCAGACCTTAACTGAGTTTGGGAATGAGAAACTGTTCCTTTTTGAGAAATGGGTTTGTTCTAAAGGAGTAATAAAGACTATAACAAATTAGTAGATCTGATGGTTCATGAGGAATTGTACAATACAATCCCTGTTGACCTCAGAGAATATTTGGAGGACAAAAACCCAGATAATCTTTCAGAAGCACTGGATCTAGGTGACCGATTCTTGGCTCACAGGGAATTGGTAAGTAAAAACAGTCATGCTCCTTCTGAAAATTTCCCCACTCGTTCTAAACCTTATTCCAAGTCCTATGGTCATAAAGGTAAGTGGGGCAAGAATTTTCAGGGACAAATGAAGGCTGAGGCACCCTCTAAAATAGAAAGAAAAGGTAAGTCAGCTGGAGCTTAAAGTTTACCTAGACAATCAGATAATTTTTCAGGTCCTCGAGTAAACAGTACCAGTCCTACACCAAATGGTAAAAATACCTTTAAGAGTTATGCCTGTTACTACTGTAACAAAACTGGACACACACAAAAGTTTTGCTGGTCAAGGTGGCGAGATCAGGAAAGGGAGGAACCACCCCAGAGGACTCTAACTGCAGACACACATCCAGTTGCCTGTATTTGGTCTTCAAAGCAAGGTGAGGAGGTACCTTTGGGTCTAGACCCCAGGATGCAGGTATTTTCTAGTAGTCCACAGTTGCTTTGCATAAGGATGTGGGTAGGGTTGAGAACATACTGTCCTTGAGAGATGGATGTAGCACCTACTCCTTGCTACATGCTGGAGTGCTGCCAGTGTCTAAGGATACCTATACTGGAGTAGATATATTATTGAAGGGTATTACAGGTTCACCCATAAGAACACCTGTACACAAATTATGGGTAGAATCTGCATACCAAGTTGGCTATCTCCCTGTAGGTATTTCAGATGAAATTCCCTTCGAAGGGGTTAACCTCTTGTTGGGAAACAACGTTATGGGTCTGTTAGACAGTGAAGAACCACTAGTATGGGGGCAACCAGACCCCAAAGTTTGGGAGAAGAAGGCTAGGGAGACCCTGCCAGACCTTTTCCCTGTTGGTGCCATCACAAGAAGTATGTCTCGTGACCAGGATACCAAGGGTAATCCTTGTATTTCTCATGAGGATGGTGAGGACTTAGGTTTGGAAACTCTATTTTCTGATGTTGAACTGCAGTCAACTAAAGAAAAGGATACCACAACCCGAGCTGAGCCTAATCAGTGCAGAGATCAGGTAAGTAGTGTGAGGGAGACTGGGCCTACTATGATGCAGTTAATTGCTGCACAGGGGTGTGATGACACACTTAAGTCGATCAGAGCCTCAGCTGTGACTGAGGAGGAATCTTTACGTTTAAATAAATGCTTCTATTTCAGGAAAGGTATACTAATGAAGAAGGCACCTTCGGTTGCAGTACCAGTAGAAGGAGAGCCAAGTTTTTGTCACCAGGTCGTGGTGCCTGAGCCTTATATAAACCATGTTCTTAGCTTAGTGCATGACACACCTCTAGGTGGACACCTAGGTATTGCTAAAACAGTATCCAGGGTTTCCAGGCACTTCTTCCGGCCTCGGCTGTGGGAGACGGTGGGAGATTATATAAAGACCTGTCATGCCTGCCAAATTATAAGGAAACCTAATCAAAGCATTAAACCTGTTCCCCTTCAGCCTATATCAGCATCAGGTGAACCCTTCAGCAAGCTGGTAGTGGATGTCGTTGGCCCACTCCCAAGGACTAGAATGGGAAATAATTATTTACTAACAATAATTTGCTCCACTACCAGGTATCCAGAAGCAATCCCTCTATGCAAGATAACAGCTCGAGTGGTCTTAAGGGCTTTGATGAAGTTCTTTTCCCATGTTGGCTTTCCTCGGGAGGTACAAACAGATCAAGGGTCTAACTTTACCTCGAAATTATTTAGGAATGTGTTAAAGGGGTTAGATGTACAGCCCAAATTTTCAACTGCCTATCACCCTCAGTCTCAGGGAGTAGTAGAGAGATTTCATCAAACTCTTAAGACAATGATGCGAGCTTATTGTATGAATAACACTAGTGATTGGGATGAGGGTATCCCCTTTCTCTTGTTTGCCATGCGGGAAAGCACCCAAGAATCTCTCAGTTTCAGCCCTTTCGAGCTTGTCTATGGTCATCCAGTGAGGGGACCACTGACTATTCTCAAGGAGCATTGGCTGGGCGGTGAAAATGAGGCTTCCCCGCCAGAAGATGTTCTCTTTTTCAGGAAACGATTGGACCAGGCGAGACAGATGGCAGCAGATAACCTCAAAGCTAGTCAGAGGGCCATGAAGCAGCGGTACGACCAAAGGGCAGCTCCTCGCTCCTTCAGTGTTGGAGAGGAAGTGTTAGCTTTGGAGCCGGTTCCGGGACATGCCTTGGCTGCACGATTTGATGGACCCTTTGTCATCACAGGCAGGTCTGGCCCCAATTATGTAATTAAGATGCCTGGCCGTCGCAAATCAGAAAGGACTGTGCACATTAACAGGTTGAAAAAATACCATTCTAGGGCAGGAGTTGCCGCCATTCAAGTTGAGTGTGACGATACTGAAAAACTTCCTGTAACAACAGAAGTAAGGCTGTGCAATTCAGCCATCTTGCAAAATCCCTTGGCAGTCTTCAAGCTGGCACTGGACAAGCACCTAAAGTCGGTTCCTGATCAGCCGGGCTGTGGCTCGTACGTTGGTTTGCGTGCAGCCAGCAGTAACAGCCTGGTTGATCAGGCTCTGATCCACCAGGAGGCCTGGTCACAGACCGGGCTGTGGGGGCGTTGACCCCCAGAACTCTCTCCAGGTAAACTCCAGGTAAACACATGAAGGGACTCATGGGGGATATGCCACCCTTTGTATATAACACACTACAGAGGAATTTCAGAAGACAACTTTGGGTTTGTTATCTGTTAAAGAGTTTCTGGAAACTGAAACCAGGCTTCCAAAGTTGGAGATGAAACAGGCTTAAGAATTATTAAGAAGGGAATGTACGAAAGTACAGTACGGGTCCTCCATCACAAATCCGGCATCATTGGGACCTGTAGTGTACCGGATTACTGAGTTTGCCGAATTATAGAGTGGTTAGGTTAGAATACACATAATAAAATTAACCAACTTGACTTATACAGTACATTGAACATCGGCAAAAATCAAACATTTCCGCTACTTTGAGCTCAATTTCAAGGTACTTTTCGTCATGAAAGCAATCAAAA